AGAAATTTGTACAAAAAGTCCATTTCCTCAGTCACCAAAGGGCAGTTCACGAAGGCTACAAAGATTTTGCATGCGATCAATGCGAGAAGAAATTTGGATTCAAGTCAGCTTTGCTCTTGCACCAAAAGACAGTTCACGAAGGTCGTAAAGACTACGCATGTGGCAAGTGTGAAAAGAAATTTGGGGAACGAGGCACTTTGATCAGACATCAAAAGATAGTCCATGAAGGTCGTAAAGATTACGAGTGCGACAAGTGTGAAAGTAAATTTGGACAAAAAGTGCATCTGCTCACTCATCAAAGAACAGTCCACGAAAATTGCAAAGATTATGAATGCGTTAAGTGTGAAAAGAAATTTACATGCAAACGGAATTTACTCTGTCACCAAAAAATATTTCACGAAGGACACAAAGATTTCGCATGTGACTAATGCGAGAAGATATTGTTAAATTGTAAATAGATTCTCAAGAAAATATGTTTTTCTAAAATTTCAATAAAAATTGAGCACTTTGAATTTACTTTTTAAGACTGTTAATATTTAATAGCTTTTAAATTAAGAGTTCAGTAAAAAAATTAATTTGTTCAACAATGGGAATGTACCATCTATAATCTTCATAAAATATATGAAACCGACTTCAATCAGTCCAGACTTACACATTTTTTTTGTAGTCTGCTCTCCTGCTCAGAGCCTACTGGCAGATAAGCGCAACCGGCTCAACTATTGCCCTGTCTGCTCTCTTGAAAAAAGGCTTGGCATGTATTTTCTTTCTCTGTCGAAAATTCGATGACGATAGAGAGAGGCTATCTCATTCAAGAAATAGAGTCCGATAAGGCACTGACATGAGGAGTGATCCGAATTTTACCATCATAAAGGGATGTTCATGTATTACACGACAGGTAGGACTCCGAAGCACAAAAATACGTGCATGACATCGCTCTCTAATGAGCATAATTTCCAAGCGACAAGATCAGCGAATTGAACAGAGAACAGAGAGGTCAATGAAATGACCAATCACCTGTCAAAAGTGAAAGTATTTTATTAATTGACTGTAACGCCTCATCTGTTTGTTTCGAGTACTGAAGCCTTCATTCAAATTTGTGTTAATATGGTAAAACAGTTAGTATTTTTACTAATTACTACTTTATTTAATTGTTTTATAATTATTTAATTATTATTATTATTTGGAACTATTCTTTTTAAAATTAATTAATAGTTTCTTAATCATTATAACTTTATAATTTAGCCAAATTAATTATCTCAATCATTTAAATATTTTTTTATTAAAAAATTATTATTTTAATGTATTTTAATTAATATCTAATCATTATTATTTAATTTATTCCCAAGCATTTGACCCAAGACTAATGCTTCTTTGACAGGTGATTTCAATTAAAATTGATGGTTTTGTGTTGCTTGTAATGTGACCAGCTTTCTGCATTGGCCAGTAGGTCATCAGATCCCTCGCTGAAAATCTCAAAACACTCAACAATTATTGTAATAAAATTTGCATATAACTTGCATTAAAACATGCTGGCTTTGTTCTGATTAGTGTATCTCAGTCTGGCCAAACAATCAAATAAGCAAAACATATTGACAGTATGTCAAATACTTTCCTAAAAGTCCTTGCAGCTGTCGCTAAAGAAATATCAAACCTGCAGTAAAATTTAAAAATGAAAATTCATTCAAATTAATTAACAATACAAAAAAATTCTGTCATAGGTATTCGAAAACCAACTTTTGTAAAAAAAGCATTATAATCTGATCAAGTACGTCCCCGCTAATTCTTCAGTCTTTGCCGCTTCCTGAAGTTAACGATGGTGGAGACGCAGAGTCCAGTGAATAAGTAAGCAACCGTGATCTAGAATCACGCAGGTGATCTAGGCTTGAGGCTGGCATTGAGAACTCAATGGCGGCATTCCACTCATCAATTCATACAATTCCAATCATTCAACTCATCCATACTCATGTTCATCATCAACACGCTTAACCCAACACTGGCTCTTCACACTCAGTCACATGTCACTTAAAACCGCTTAGGTTTTCGTATTATTCCCTATGGTAATCAGTTTTGCGGCCCTTTTAGGTGGTTCACCTAGTCACCGCTAGGTGGCGTCGACTCAGATCGTCACTCGCGCATTAGAATAAGGCTAGTTCTAGGCACATAAGAGAGTTGATTTCACGGCATAAGCACGGCATAAGGACGTATTTTTTGCTCTTCGCTTTTTTAAAGAGCATCAGATGGAGCTGATGCTGGAGTCTCTTTTTCGCGAAATAGCGCCAGTGCTGATATTGCTTGATGTTGGTGCAGACGTATGACCACTTGTCGAAGTCTTTCATAGCACTTAGCTAGCATCTAACTGTAGCACTTGCTCCCTCAAATTTTTCTCATTCCAAATCAATTTCACATGTCTCTAATGCTGCTGCAATGCTTCTGCTCAATACTTGGGCTGCTAAAAATACTTTCATTTTCTCATTGTGAGGTTCAACATGTTTGCTCTTAATTTTTGTCGACAAAGGCAAACCTCAATATTCTTGAAGATCAACAAGCTTTCGAATAAAACGCCACAAAATGAATTTTCCATTTCTATCGCAAAAGTTAATAGATAACAAATTTTTGAAAACTAACTTTATCATGTGACAAGCATCAGGTGAATTGTAAACACGTGTACCACTAATTGTGCTCTCAAAAAATGAAATTGATGTGTTGTCGAAAAAGCTCGCACCAAGTTATTCGACCATTGAAATATTGGACGAAGCTTCGTCAAACGTTATATTTTTGACGTGCAATCCGTGTACATGACACTCGTCTAAAATATCCAGAATCAGCGAACTTTTTTTGTCACTGTTTAAAGCATTTATGAAATAATAAGCAACGAGTATTTTGAAGTAGCCATTTATGTAAACCAAAATAAAAACGAACGCATTCGATGCTAGTTCCTCACTTTTGTGTTTGTAAAAAGATAAGTCACCCAAATCTATGTATCCTTCAAATTTTTGTGCCGCTTTGTTCCAGCAAGCATGTTTACGAATTGACATCTCATCGACGTCTAAGTTGAAACACAATTTCTTACCTTTAGTTTCAGCATTTTTCGTAAAATTTTCTACGGTTTGTAATGCTTCGCAAGAAATACCTGGTTGATATTTATATGTTGACATAAAACAGACTTATGGGGAAAAAGATTGTCGAAACACGTATATTCATAACCAGTCGGAGAGTAAAAATGTAACGTCATAGTAAAATCTTTCAAATTTTCAGAAAATTGTTTGAATTTTTTCCATTTGAAGCCAATTCGACCAATGATTTTAAGCCAGTTTTAATGGAATATGATAGATCGATTAATATGTATTTTTCACTTGTATGTGCACCTAGTATGGCTCACCTATATTGGCATATCTAAAAAAACCTTTAATGAGAGTATAAGACATACCTGCAATGAAATGCCTTCCACATATTCTGAAATAATCTAATTGTTTGGCTGTCAAAGGGCCCAGTTTCAGACATCTAATCCAGGCTTGCTATCATTTTTTACACAGCTCAGACGTATTTTTTGACTAATTCTTAGACTTGTGCAATTTGCAATTTTTCGTTTAGAAAATATTTTTAGGACATTTGGTGAGTCGCGCCCTCGCGTGGTCTCCTTCTTAGTGAGAAACGCCTCGTATACAGCTTCAACTCACTCTTACATTTGATGACTGCATAATATCCTGTTGGCTCAAAAAAGTCGCACGCGCCTTAATTTTCATTCAGATTTCATTAAAAGCGAAAGATCCATCAAGTCACAGGTTCCATGCTAAAAAATACAAAATTACCCAAAAGAAGAGTAAAAAATCACTCAACTCTTTTCTAAAGTAAAAAGCGTCCACTCGTAATTTATTTTCACGGCAATGCAATTCAATTTCTTCGCGGCGGACTTCACCGCGCCTCGGACGAGATCGTCAGGTGCGCCGAGATGAACGAGCCGCGTTAAATTGAATTTAATTCGAGCGTAGCCGACAATACTTCAGGCGCGCGCGCCATTGTTATTGTGTATTATGAACGATTCATCAAAATGCCGCGCGTCGCGTCTCGAGCACTGCGGCGATACGCAATCTATGTATTATAAAACGCCGCCGCCGCCGCCGTCACGGCTCGTTCATTTATATACGCAAAGTTGGCGAAAAGTTCGCGCGAAATTGATTAATTCGAGATTGGTAATGGAAGCGAGAAAGATTACGATAATATACGTATACGCGGAATTGTATTTCGCTTGGCTTGGCGAAAGCTTTATATATACTTGAGTCGAACCCTCGCGAGAAAAGTCCGCCGCTTCCGACCCACGTTCTCGTATCATTCGTTGACCTCTCGAGCGGTGTACCACGCGCTTCATGCATAATACACGCACGATGCGTGCACTTACCTTACGCATCGCGATGTGGTCTATACAAAGATTTATCGCTAGCCGAGGATCGGACCGCGAGAAACCGTCCTTTTCAGCTAGCTCTTTTTTCTCTCCTCGGCATCTTTGCGTACACGCGTGCGTCGTGTGTATACACAAAAAGTGAGCGATATAACACGACTTTTGCGAGCTTCGAGATGAGAAAACGCGAAGACGCGAGGAATGAGCTTTTTTCCTGCGGCAGCGTGGATAAATGATTTCTCTACTGAATAAGAGCGATCGCAACGGAGGGATTTGCGTGCCGTTTGTGCTTGCACACATCACGAATGGGTGTTCTTTTTTTTAACCCAAAAGCTTTTCAAATAATATAACGTATTACGATTCTCGTCGATGATCAACGAATATAAGAAAAATTAGGCGCGTTTCGGATGTCATAGGACCAATCTCTATAGTTTCAATATCATTCGTAAAAAAATATTTATTGTTCATTTGGCTGAACAATAATGTAATTTTTTTTCTATGATATATGATGACTCGATATTGCTATGTTTATATTGTGAGTGCCGAAGATTTAACGGCAAGATTTGTGTAAATATTATGGAATGAGTTTTCGATTAGTTTGATATTATTACGGAAACATCATTCGCCAACGAACTTTTATCAAAGTAAGATGGAATCGAGTAGTTTCTTCAACTGTCCTGTTAGGTAAATTTTATTTTGTAAAAATTATACGACGAAATTCTCATAGCAAAATAATCAATCTTACTAAATCTATTTTAGAGTAAAAGACGAACCTCGTGATGAGCTTCTCAATGATAATGATTATAAAATAATTGACACGACACCCGTCACTCAAAATATTAAATACGAAAGGTTTTGGCAAGAAAATTCAGTAAGTGTTGATAATCATTTTCGACTATCATTAATGAAAGTTTCTTAATAATTTTAATTTTTTCAGACCCAAGAGCTTCAAAAACATGACGAAAATCATGAAAATGAACTTGACGACCTGGAAATCGAAATGGAATGTACAGACATGAAGCCCAATTTATTGGTGGTTGCGAAAATTGAAGATCATTCTCCAAATCAATGGCCGAATAGTGATGAGTATGAAACTGGAAGCAAAATTAAATTAGAAACTGTCGGGACAGTGAAGAAAGAAATTTTAAGCGAAGAAACTGATTTGAATTTCGGACGTGCACTCAGCGAGCAAAATAAACAAGAAACTGTTTCAAAAGAGCTGAACAATGAAAATAGGCTCAAAACTCACAATGATACTACGCATAATAAAATCACACATGATTGTGATATTTGCGGAAAATCATTCAGACAAAAAGGTCATCTAAACGTCCACATCCAGTCGGTGCATCGTAAAATAAGGCATGCATGCAACATATGCCAAAATACGTTCTCAGAGAAGAAAAGTCTCAGCAATCACATCGATTCGGTGCATAATGAAGTTAGGCATGCATGTGATATTTGCGAAAAGACATTCACACAGAAGAGTCATCTCAAAATCCACATCGAGTCGGTGCATCGTAAAATAAGGCACGCTTGCGATGTATGCCAAAAGACATTCTCAGATAAGAGTTATCTCAAAACTCACATCAATTCGGTGCATAATGGTGTTTCACATGCGTGTAATTTATGCCCGAAGACATGCTCAGACAAGAGTAGTCTCAAGAAACACATCGATTCAATACATCATAAAATTACTCATCCATGTGATAAATGCCAAAAGACATTCTCAGACAAGAGTAATCTTCAAAAACACATCGAATCGATACATCATAAAATTACGCATCCATGTGATGAATGCCAAAAGACATACTCAGACAAGAGAAATCTCAAAAAACACATCGCTTCGGTGCATAATGGTGTCCCATATGCGTGTGACATTTGTGGGAAGACATTCTTACAAAAAAGTAATCTCAAAACTCACATCGAATCGATACATCATAAAATTACGCATCCATGTGATATGTGTACAAAGAAATTTACTGCGAAAAGTAGTCTTAAAGTCCATATCGATGCGGAGCACAATGGAATCACCTATTCATGTGATTTATGTGAAAAAAAATATAAATACCAAACTCAACTCAATAGACATGTCAAATCGTCGCATAATGGTATAACTTATGCATGCAAGACATGCGGAAAGACATTCGGCCAGAAAAGAAATCTTAAAGCCCACATCGATATGGCTCATAATTCACGCATAACGACCTAATAAATTCATGAAATATATGTTCAATGGTGACTCACTGATGTACTGTCTAATGTATTGGAAAATAAGACTAACTTAATGATTTTTATCAATTATAATATTCTTCCTACTTTTGTCGTTATGTTATCTAAATCCGTGAAAACAATTTGAAAAAAATAAATACATTTTTTTCCAGAACAAAACTACACTGCTTATTCTAAATCGATATAAATATTGCATCAACGCTTCTTAAGAATTATTTTTCATTTAGTCACTTTTTCTAGTTGACACTAATTGCTATTTTTCTAATTAGTCTGGGCGCCAGTTAACGCGATACGCTCGTCGATTTATTCGGAATCTAAATTTTGAAAGCTCAGAAGATGATTCCTTTGTCGGCTTTGTCGAGTTCGTTGGTGAACGCCGCTCTACTTTTGTTTACATAACATTCCGTACATCGCCATGTACAATCGTCGTAACACTCATCGAAGCGGTTATCACGATCGTCGCGACAGTTTTGCGGAAATTCCGGTTCAATTCAGTACGTGAATAGTTGCCGCCGCGAAAAGTGTCGTGATTGTGCCCAAGTGTCTTTTATTCGCATTTAAAAATATCTCAGAATGGAATTGGATTGGTTTTGGCTCTTTAGCAATCGAATAATTCAGTGGAAAGGTAGTTACAAGTGCGTTTTGTGTACCTTTGAATTTGGAGTATATTATGTTCAAGACATTAAAGACCACATTGGAAAATGTCACTTTCATGTTAAAAGAATCCAACAGATAAATTGTGAACTGATAGACTCAAAAGGTCAAGCAGTCACTTCATCTCTATCTGAACAACTAGTGAAAAATGGTGTTTTTTTCAATATCGATGACAATCAGCTCACATGCTATCCATGTCAGTGTAAATTGCCATGCTATCTCGACGTTTCAGCTCATGTGGAATCTGGAAAACACAAGGAACAAATTCGTTCGAGTAGATATCATTCCAATCCTCAAACATACGTTTTTACAAATAAATTATATTGCAAAATATGTAGCTTTTACTGCGAAACTCCCGTGGAGGCTCTCTGGCATATTATGGAACATTTTCCCAAAATGCTCCAATACCCAACTACCATTGATATTATCGAAGTTTCACAAAGTCAAAAGTCAAAAATAACGTGTTGTCTATGCGATATCAAGATGGATTATAACGATTTGAAAGAACATTTAACTTCAACCAAACATATTAAACGACGTAATTTCTTGAAGGGTAACGATAAAACACTAAAAAAAGATCCGATTTCTACAGAGGAAAAAAGTCATATTCGTGATATTTTTTTAAACTCTTTTGATTCTGATACTTGGCACTGCCACAAATGTGAAACTGAGATTCAAAGTAAACCGTGCCTTATTGAACATTTTTTGGAAGAAAAACATAAATTGAACGCCATAAATAAGAGGAGGGACAGTGATCATCTGGTTAAAAATACTGTCCTTGGTTACAAGTGTTACATGTGTAATGAATCATTTGGTTCTAACCCACAGAAATTGTTTTTTCATTACTATTTTTCAGTTCAGCATAAAATACGAATGGAAATTTTTGATAAAATTTTCAAGCAAAAGTATCTGAAAATGGAAGAATTAAATAATAGAATTTTTATAGAGTGTTCTGTATGTCAAATAATGCACTTAAATAGTGTAGAGTCTGTTATTGATCATATAAGTGAGCAAAAACATAAATCTAATGAAAATTTACATACACCTCCAGTACCGACAAGAAAAGAATCTGAAGATCGTTGTACACAAATAGCAAAAAATAATAAAACTGAAAAATTCAATTCTCATTCAACATACGGTGAACAATTACAGCAGGATATACTTGATATTATTAATAATTTAGATGAACTACGAGAATCAAAATCAAATTCATCTAATGCACAGATCGATCAAGTTTTTTCCGATCCAAATACTTTACATCAGTATATAGACTTTTGCGTTAATAGAAATGGTAAAAATTATATATATAATTTAAGCGACAGCAAGCGAGCTCATATGGACTCGAACATTTATTTTATAATTAAAAATGGCAATAACCAATTCTGTTTGATCTGCGAAAATCAATATCCTAATGAGCCGTATGTCATATTAGAACACATTTTTTCTGAAAAACACAATAAAAATCTACTACAAAGAAGTAACCGCTGGATGAAAACAAAAGATTCATCCGACACGACATTCGATAATTTAACATTTTCTATGAGTTATATTTTGAGAAATTCAACTGGATCTTTTCATTGCCATGCTTGCAAAATCAATATTGAGGAGAGAAAAATTTTAGAACATTCTGTAGCCAACGATCATCTGCTAAAATGTGAGAACTTGAAGAGAGAGTCCAAGAGTGATACTCTTGTGAAAATCAACACTCTTTTGCAAAACTCATGGTACCACGCTCAATTTTTCGATTGTCAAGTGTGCGATAAGAAGTACCAAGTGGAGATTGAATTCGTTGAACATTTAATTCGCTGTGATCATTGGATGAAGGTGCAAAATTGCAAAGGTTACACACCAGAATTTCATACATGCTTTGCCTGTGTAACATTACTCTATGGAGATCTCAGTCAATATTATGATCACTGTGAAGATGTTGATCATAAACGATACGTAGAGAAGGGCAACTACGAGATTCCAGAAATGTTGCCGACCTTGTTAAAGTTATTAAAGGGAGTAGAGGATAAAAAACGAAAAATATTAGACGAATCAAAAGCAATTATTCTTGAAAACGAACTGGAAAAACGTGTATTAAAAGATGTTGTAAACGTTGTCGAAAGTGTTTATCCCAATTCTACGGCCTATAAATTTGGTTCGAGATCTTCTAATACAGCTCTCTTCGAATGTGATTTGGATATTTTTTTAGATTTCGATGATATGAATTATAATAAAAGCTTGGATGCAGCATCGATTCGAAAATATCTGGCATCGTTTGAAAAATGTTTTGAAAAGTATAGGGACGTATGGTACGTAGAAGAAGTACTGTACGATACCAGGATTCCTATTATCAAATTGCGACATAATTCTACCAATCTTACTTGCGATATCTCCTGTTCGAACGGTCTGGCTCATAGAAAGTCTAAACTAGTAAGGTAAGTAATTAATAAATTAAGTTTATATCAATGAACAGGGTTTTCTACAATTATCTTACTATTTACAGATATTTTAATGATGCTTACCCAATTTGTAGACAGCTCATTTTGTACCTCAAAAAATGGCTGATTTTTTCACAATTATCAGGCACGGAAGTGATTTCATCTTTCACTGCGTCATGGCTAGTCATATTTTACTTGCAAGTCAAAGGTGTATTTCCAAGTGTGTATGAGTTAATCAAATGTCAAAGTCACTCAGTAATTGTCGATGGTAATATGTGTTTACATATTTTTAAAATTAATGTAAATCATTTTACTTAAAATATTAAAAAAATAACTGAATGACTATTTGTTTTAGGTTGGGAATGTGGATATCAAGAAAATTTTTGTGCCAAGCCCGATAATTTAAGTTTTGTTGAACATCTAGTCGGACTTTTTACCTTTTATGCCATTTTTGATTATCAAAAGTATGTAATGTGTCCGTATTTAGGTAAAATAATACATAAACAAAAGTTTGCTCTCAAAGAACTACCAGTCGAACTCACAGCTATTCTAAGTGACAAAAATAAAGATGCTGTATTTCTATATCGATTTGATTCTCCAATGTGCATGCAAGACCCAATAGATCTTTCTCAAAATTCAACAAAAGCTCTTAGCAAACGTCAACTCAGATGCTTTAGAGAATATTGCTCATTGAGTGTTGACAAAATTATATATGACCATAACATGGATTTGTATAGTGAATAATATTAAGAACTGAAATTATTGCTTTTAAAATACATAGACATGAATTTATGATTTATGAACGAAATTCAATTATACTGAAATGATTTTATATTTTTAAACGATTTTTAAAGAAAATTTGATGTAACTACTTGAATTTTTAATTACTTATTGATGCGCTAAAATGTGTAAAATAATATAATTTTACAAGGTACGGTTTATGAGAAATTATTATTAATAAAATAATTGTATACAAGATATTCAGGGTATTTATATTTACTTTTTCTCGAGTCTATAATAAATTTTCACCCTGTGCTGTATCAAATCAAATTTTCTGTAAGTAAAATTTTAATATAACTCATTATGATACACTAAATTACGGTTCTCATTCAATTTTTCAAATGTAAATCTTAATAATTCTAATTTTTATATCGATGCATTTGATTAACATATAAGATTCGTCATTACTTTAAAAATAGAAAATATTGTAGCTAACTGTACAAAACCGAATCCATGATATATATTTTGAAAAAAATAATGCAAGAAAAAATTATGAGCAAACAAAAAGAAACCTCGCATCTACAGACTACAAAGATTTACTTATTTCTTATTCGAGTCATTTCATTCTAAAGCAGAGTCATTTTTTTGGTCATTATGAAAAATTTGAATAGGAAGGAATACGAGTTACAATTCAGTGTCACATAAAAAGTTCATTCACGCAAGTATTCCGCTTTCATACAGTACACTGTCTTGAGAGTCTAAAATCTATCACATTCTTCGGTAAAGTCATTTAAAATTTTTAATGGACTGCGTTAACATGTATCTGAAAACCCGATAAAATCAAATATGTAAAAAATGTAACTTTTCTTCAAATTAACATACAGCGGCGATAAAACAACTGTTATAGTGAAAATTGAATGTACCAAGTGAATACAAAAACTGAATTTAAGCAAATTGGCAAAATAGAAACACATCGGAAAAATACTATTATATGTAATAGTATGATGAAAAATGTCTTTTTTCGCACATTTTTTAGTGCGCAAAAAGCGTTTTTCCCACTCTAACCTAAAATACGCAACTTTGCCGCTAATTTTAGGCTCTCGTAGGAAAAAATAGTATCTCAAACTGGTGCAGATATGGTTTTTTAACAAAACTCGTTACAGCACTCGCCTTCGGCTCGTGCTATAATCCCTCGTTTTGCTAAAAAACCATATGTGCACCCGTTGAGAAATATACTATTTTGGACACCTGTTTGCTGTAAAATGCCCCAATTTGGACACTGGTGTGTGGTAAAACGCCTCATTGAAATGAACGTATTTTTCGCCGACTATTGCATAAAATTTTGTATGCAACACGTGCCCAGCTTTTTGCGCACACTCGTGCCCAAAAACGCCTTTTGGGCACTTGTTACATAAATAACTATAGTTACAAAATAGAATTTATTTACAGAAGTATAAATGTGTCATGTAAATCGTATAAAAATTGTTTGTACATTTTGAAAATAATGGTCCATACGAAAAAATTTATAAGCAAAATGAAAATAGTATATTACTGCCCTAGGCCGCGAAAAACAGAAAAGTCCCAGATTACGTGCAATTAGTGGCCGAGGCAAAGCCGAGGCTGATAAACACGTGCTCTGGGGCTACTTTTTCGCGGCATAGGCTTGTATACTGTTTTTCATCCACAGTGGCCCGAAAATCGCTCTTCCCGCTTTGCGCAGCGGCAGGGAAGTAGTCACTTTCGGGCTATTTTTCTGTGTTACTTGAGCCGCTGAATCAAAACGCAGGGTCAGATATTTCCATAATTTTAATTCACTGGAATAAGAAGTGATGATGGTCTGTGTCATAATGAGTAACCATTCCTGCAACTTTTGATTTATTTTCATGAATCATCATCATTGTTTTCTTAAACTCATTTGCCAAATCAACTGCAACTGTGTTTACAGTACATTGCCTTCATTTAAAAATAATATTCACTTGTATATCTATTAAGGTACCTTACTCTTTTTGCAGTCGGGCATAATCGGTTATCAAAATGTGCGAGAGTCGATAGAGTAGATTTTCAAATAAACCGCATCTATGTAGTTTTTTCGAATACTCTTATCTCCAAAATACTTGTCACACTCTTGACGTTTGTGATCTTTGAATTTCTCGTGAATTGTTAAAATATTCCTGTTCAAGTCAATTTTAAAGTTAAAAAATTTTGCTTATTCTTTACACTTACGCTCTTTCAGTTCTAAACGAACTACATCTACATGCCTCAACGAACAAAATTTTTTCCGAAATATTTGCCACACTCTTCGATTTGTAATCTTTGATTTTTTTTATAGACTGTGGCAATGTGTCTGTTGAAGTTACTTTTATAACTAAATGACTTTCCACACTCTTCGCACGTATGCTCTCTGATTTTCAAATGAACTGCATTTATGTGATTCATCAGATTTACTTTTTGTCCAAAAGACTTGCCAACTTCTTCGCATTCGTGATCTTTGATTTCTTTATGAACTGTGGCAATGTGTCGATTTAAATTTCTTCTCGAACCAAAAGACTTTTCACATTCTCCGCATTGGTGATCTTATACTTTTTTATGAACTGTGGCAATGTGTAGATCTAAGTTACTTTTATCAACATATGAATTTCCACATTCCTGACACATGTGTTCTTTCCTTCGAATGAACATTATCTATGTGTCTAATCAGATCATATTTTCGTCCAAAACACTTGCCACACTCTTTGCACGTGCTATCTCTACTTTTCAAATGAACTACATCTAAGTGCCTCAACAACTGATGTTTCCGAAAGAACTTGCCACACTCTCCGCATTTGTGATCTTTGATTTTTTCGTGAATTGCATCAATGTGTCTAATTAAACTCATTTTTATGACCAAAATTCTTTCCACACGCATCGCAAGTGTAATTTTTTATTCTTAGATGGACTATTCAAACTTTGCTTCGCGACAAAAGACTGTCCACAATCGTCGCAAACAAATTTCTCAGCTTCAAATGAACTCCATCCACGTGATTGTTCAAATTTTGTCTAATTAAGAAAATTTTACCGCACTCATCGCATTTGTGACGTATTTTACCATTTTGACTTGCGGACATCATAAAAATATCTCGACCTTTAAATTTTAAATTGTTTCATCAACCTACGGGTTCTACTATTTCTCTACTGTTTTTATTTCGGATCTTATGTATACTCAGCAACTTTTCAGCCGTTGATATTTTGTTTACATCGAAATTAATATGTCGAGTAATCACACGGGAAAAATTAATTGTATACATATGATTTAATTAATAATTTTTAGGAATAATTTCTCATTTTTGTATTATCTTATGTCTTGTTTTTTGTTTAACTTCAAATATGTATAAGTCTGCTTGGACGAACAATCTTTCCTTACGGTACACTACTGATCCATCTTCTTCGGAAAAATATTTTTGATAATCTGGAGCAATCCCTGATAAGGCATAAATGACCACAGATCAAAATCGTCAGTATAATCAGCTGTTTTGACGTACCTGCTAAATAATTATGTAAAAACATTTAAGATTAATAATATCTTCGCGTGATACCACTATTTTTTGTTTTGTATTAACTTTGAAAGCTCCGAAGATGATTCCATTGTTGGGTTTGTCGAGTTCTTTGATAAACGTCGCTCTACTTTTGTTTACATAACATTCCGTACATCACCATGAACAATCGTCGTAACACTCATCGAAGCGGTTATCACGATCGTGGCGACAGTTTGCGGAAATTCCGGTTCAATTCAGTACATGAATAGTTTGCGCCGGGAAAAGTGTCGTGATTGTGCCCAAGTGTCTTTTATTCGCATTTAAAAATATCTCAGAATGGAATTGGATTGGTTTTGGCTCTTTAGCAATCGAATAATTCAGTGGAAAGGTAGTTACAAGTGCGTTTTGTGTACCTTTGAATTTGGAGTATATTATGTTCAAGACATTAAAGACCACATTGGACAATGTCAGTTTCATGTTAGAAGAATCCAACAGATAAATTGTGAATTGATAGACTCAAAAGGTCAAGCAGTCACTTCATCTCTATCTGAACAACTAGTGAAAAATGGTGTTTTTTTCAATATCGATGACAATCAGCTCACATGCTATCCATGTCAGTGTAAATTGCCATGCTATCTCGACGTTTCAGCTCATGTGGAATCTGGAAAACATCAGGAACACATTCGTTACAGCAGATATCGTTCCAATCCTCAAACATATGTTTTTACAAATAATTTACATTGCAAAATATGTAGCTTTTACTGCGAAACTCCCGTGGAGGCTCTCTGGCATATTATGGAGCATTTTCCCAAAATGCTCCAATACCCAACTACCATTGATATTATCGAAGTTTCACAAAGTCAAATAACATGTGGTCTATGCGATATCAAGATGGATTATAACGATTTGAAAGAACATTTAACTTCAACCAATCATATTAAACGACGTAATTTCTTGAAAGGTAATAATGAAACACCAAAAGAAGATCCGATTTCTATAGAGGAAAAAAGGCCAATTCGTCATATTTTTTTAAACTCTTTTGATTCTGATACTTGGCACTGCAACAAATGCGAAACTAAGATTCAAAGTAAAACGTGCCTTATTGAACATTTTTTGGAAGAAAAACATAAATTGAACGCCATAAATAAGAGGAGGGACAGTGATCATCTGATTAAAAAAAGTGTCCTTGGTTACAAGTGTTACATGTGTAATGAATCATTTGGTTCACAATCTTATAAATTGTTTTTTCATTACAATTTTTCAGTCCAGCATAAAATACGAATGGAAATTTTTGATAAAATTTTCAAGCAAAAGTATCTGAAAATGGAAGAATTAAATAATAAAATTTTTATAGAGTGTTCTGTATGTCAAATAATGCACTTTAATAGTGTAGAGTCTGTTATTGATCATATAAGTGAGCAAAAACATAAATCTAATGAAAATTTACATACACCTCCAGTACCGACAAGAAAAGAATCTGAAGATCGTTGTACACAAATAGCAAAAAATAATAAAACTGAAAAAGTCAATTCTCATTCAACAGACGGTGAACAATTACAGCAGGATGTACTTGATATTATTAATAATTTAGATGAACTACGAGAATCAAAATCAAATTCATCTAATGCACAGATCGATCAAGTTTTTTCCGATCCAAATACTTTACATCAGTATATAGACTTTTGCGTTAATAGAAGTGGTAAAAATTATATATATAATTTAAGCGACAGCAAGCGAGCTCATATGGACTCGAACATTTATTTTATAGTTAAAAATCAATTATGCTTGATCTGCGAAAGACACTTTTCCAATGAGCCGTATGTTATAATGGAACATATTTTTTCTAAGAAACACAATGAAAATCTAGTACACAGAAGTAACCAACGGATGAAAACAAAAGATTCATCCGACACGACATTCATTGACTCAACATTTTCTGTGAGTTATATTTTGAGAACTTCAACTGGATCTTTTCATTGCCATGCTTGCAAAATTAATATTGAGGAGAGAAACTATTTAGAACATTATGTAACCAAAGATCATCAGCTAAGATGTGAGAGTTCGAAGAGAGAGTCCGAGAGTGATACTCTTGAGAAAATAAACTCTCTTTTACAAGATTCATGGTACCACGCTGAATTTTTCGATTGTCAAGTCTGCGATAAGAAGTACCAAGTGGAGATTGAATTCGTTGAACATTTAATTCGTTGTGATCATTTGATGAACATGCAAAATTGCGCTGCAAAGAGTTACACGCCAGAATTCCATACATGCTTTGCATGTGAAACATTACTCTATGGAGATGTCAGTCAATATTATGATCACTGTGAAGATGATTATCATAAACGAAACGAAGAGAAGGGCAACTACGAGATTCCAGAAATGTTGCCGACCTTGTTAAAGTTATTAAAGGGAGTAGAGGATAAAAAACGAAAAATATTAGACGAATCAAAAGAAATTATTCTTGAAAACGAACTGGAAAAACGTGTAATAAAAGATGTTGTAAACGTTGTCGAAAGTGTTTATCCCAATGCTACGGCCTATAAATTTGGTTCGAGATCTTCTAATACAGCTCTCTTCGAAAGTGATTTGGATATTTTTTTAGATTTCGATGATATGAATTATAATAAAAGCTTGGATGCAGCATCGATTCGAAAATATCTGGCATCGTTTGAAAAATGTTTTGAAAAGTATAGGGACGTATGGTACGTAGAAGAAGTACTGTACGATACCAGGATTCCTATTATCAAATTGCGACACAATCCTACCAATCTCAATTGCAATATCTCTTGTTCAAACGGTCTTGCTCATAGAAAATCTGAACTCATTAGGTAAGCAATTAATTAATTAGTTTATATCAATGACCACCTTTTTTTTTAAATTATCTTATCTTATTATTTATAGGTATTTTAATGATGCTTACCCAATTTGTAGAGAGCTCATTTTGTACCTCAAAAAATGGCTGATTTTTTCACAATTATCAGGCACGAAAGGTATTTCATCTTTCACTGCGTCATGGCTAGTCATATTTTACTTGCAAGTCAAAGGCGTATTTCCAAGTGTGTATGAGTTAATAAAATGTCAAAGTCACTCAGTTATTGTCGATGGTAATATGTGTTTACATATTTTTAAAATTAATGTAAATCATTTTACTTAAAATATTAAAAAAATAACTGAATGACTATTTGTTTTAGGTTGGGAATGTGGATATCAAGAAAATTTTTGTGCCAAGCCCGATAATTTAAGTTTTGTTGAACATCTAGTCGGACTTTTTACCTTTTATGCCATTTTTGATTATCAAAAGTATGTAATGTGTCCGTATTTGGGTAAAATAATCCATAAACAAAAGTTTGCTCTCAAAGAACTACCAGTCGAACTCACAGCTATTCTAAGTGACAAAAATAAAGATGCTGTATTTCTATATCGATTTGATTCTCCAATGTGCATGCAAGACCCAATAGATCTTTCTCAAAATTCATCAAAAGCTCTTAGCAAACGTCAACTCAGATGCTTTAGAGAATATTGCTCATTGAGTGTTGACAGAATTATATACAATCATAACATGGATTTTTATACTGCATAGTATAAATACAAAGACATAAATTTATGATTCATGAACGAAATTCAATTATACTAAAATTATAACTTCGATTGTTCAAAATATTTATGGAACGTCGATTTTTGATATTTTTAAGTGACTTTTAAAGAAAATTTGATTGAACTATTTTAATTTTTACAATTAATTATTGATGCGTTAAATGAATGTAATAATATATTTTGACAAGCTACGGTTTATGAGAGGTTTTTATTAATAAACTAATTGTATACAAGATGTTAAGAATATTTTTATTACCTTTTTCTCGAGGCCATAATAAATTTTCACCTTGTGCTTAGTTAAGTCAAATTTTATGTAACTAAAATTTTAACATAACTCATTACGATACACTAAATTACGGTTCTCTTTGAATTTTCTAAAAGTTAATTTTAATAATACTACTTTTTATATTGAAGCATTTGATTTTAAAATAAGATTTGTCATCACTTTAAAAGTAGAATATGGCAGCTAAACGTACAAAAGCGAATCCATGATACATAATTTGAAAAAAATAATGCAAAAAAAATTATGAGCAATCAAAAAGAAACTTCGCATCTGCAGACTCCAAAGATTTACTTGTTTTTTATCCGAGTCCTTTCATTCGAATACAGAGTCAGTTTTAACGTGTATCTGGAAATCCATATGCCGACCATAATTATTTCTAAATTTTGTGTGTTATTTAAAGTTCGAGTAAACAAGATCTATGTACTTTATCAGATAAAGTATATTTACATACCAGCGGCCCGAAAGTTGCACTTCCCGGCCGCTGCGCTAAACGGGATATTGCTATTTTCGGGCCCGGGGTATGTAAAATCGTATACTGGCCTATACCGGGAAAAAAAGAAAGCCTCAGTCCCCGGCCTAGGGCAGTAATATACTAATAATCGTGATGTGAAAAATTTAATTTTTTTTCAAATTAACATACAGCGACGAAAAAACCCCTATTATAGTGATAATTGAATGTACGAAGTGCATACAAAAAATAAATTTAAGCAAATTGGTAAAATAGAAGCACATCGTAATTTTATTATCAAGTTGTTGGTAAAATATAATTTAGATATAAAATAGAATTCATTTTTATTTATAGAAATTTAAATTTATCAAGTAAATTAAACAGATATTCTTTCATGTCGTACATTTTGAAAATATTGGTTTATACAAAAAAATTTATAAGCAAAATGAAAAAAAAGTTCACGTATTTCTGATCTAAAAAGCTATTCTTCTGTGTTAACTGAGTCGTTGAATCCAAACGCAGAGTCTGGGTCATATTTCTGTACTTTTAAATCACTGGAATAAGAAGTGACGAGAGTCTGTGTCAAAATGAGTAATAATTCATGCCACTTTTTATTCATTTTCATGAATCATCATGTTTATTTTCTTTAACTCATTTGCCATCAAGTTGTATAAGCTTCCTCTGCAACTCTTATAGTACATTGTTAGCAGTTTCTGTTTACAGTACATTGTCTTAATGTACAAATTTTCATTTGTGTATCTATTAAAGTACCTTACTCTTTTTGCAGTCGGGCATAATCTGTTATCAAAGTGTGCGAGAGTCGATCGAGTAGATTTTCAAATAAACTGCATTTGACTCTTATCTCCATAAAACTTGTCACACCCTTACCATTTGTGGGGTTTGATTTCCTCGTCTTCACACTTATGCTCTTTCAGTTCGAAATTAACGGCATCTACATGCCTCAAAGAAAAACAATTTTTTCCGGAATTTTTGCCACACTCTTCAGTTTTCAATCTTTGTTTATTTCATGAACTGTCTCGATATGTTCGTTGAACTTACTTTTTTCCCTAAAAGCCTTTCCACGCTTTTTGCACTTATGCTCTCTGATTTTCAAATGAACTGCGTTTATGTGGTACATTAGATTACTTTTTTGTCCAAAAGTCTTGCCTCACTCTTCGTATTTGTGATCTTTTATTTTTTTATGAACTGTGGCAGTGTGTCGATTTAAATCTGATCTCGAACCAAAAGACTTTTCACATTCTCCGCACTTGTGTTCTTTGAGTTTCAAATGAATTACATCTATATGCTTCATCAGAGAATTCTTTCGTCCAAAAAACTTGTTACACTCGAAACATTGGTAGTCTTTTATTTTTTCATGTATCGTACCAATGTGTTGATTCAAGGCACTTTTATTACTAAAAGGTTTTCCACATTCCTCACACACGTATTTTCTGATCTTTAAATGAACTACATCTATGTGTATGATCAGATCAGACTTTCGACCAAAACACTTGCCACACTCTTCGCATTTTTTATCTTTTATTTTTTCATGTACCGTGGAAATGTGTATTTTTAACTTGCTTTTTTCACTAAAGGACTTTCCACATTTCTCACACATGTGCTGTCTAAGTTTTAAGTGAACTCGATCTATGTGCTGCATCAGTTTATATTTATCACCAAAAACCTTGCCACACTCTTTGCACGTGTGATCTCTACTTTTTAAATGAACTACATCTAAGTGCCTCAACAACTGATGCTTCCGAAAGAACTTGCCACACTCTCCGCATTTGTGATCTTTGATTTTTTCGTGGATTGCATCAATGTGTCTAATTAACTCACTTTTATAACCAAAATTCTTTCCACATGCGTCGCAAGAGTGATTTTTTATTTTTTGATGGACATTCATAATGTGCTTATTCAAACGTCCCCTTGAGACAAAAGATTGTCCACAATAATTGTCGCAAACAAATTTCTTTAATTTCAAATGAACTCCATCTACGTGATATTTCAAATTTTTTTTAGCTAAGAAAATTTTACCGCACTCATCGCATTTGTGACGTAATTTACTATTTTGACTTCCGGACATCGTAAAAATATCTCGACTTTTAACTTTTAAATTGTTTCATCTACCTACAGGTTCTACTATTTCTCTACTGTTCTTATTTCAGATCTCATGTATAGAAAGTATATATTCGGCCGTTAAAGTTTTGTTTACATCGAAATTAATTTGTCAAGTAATCACACGAGAAAAATTAATTGTATTCATATGAGTTAATCAAAAATTTTTAGGAATAATTTTTCATTATTTCATTATCTTATGTCTTGTATTTTATTTAACTTCAAATATGTATAAGTCTGCTTGGATAAACAATCTTCCATTGCGGTACACTACTGATCCACTGTCTTCGGAAAAACATTTTTAATAATCCGGAACAATATCTAATCGGGCATAAATGGCCACAGGTCAGAATCGTCAGTATAATCAGCTCTTTTGACGAACCTGTTAATGAATTTTGTAAAAACATTATTTAGGATTAGTAATATCTTCGTATGATACGATTACTTTTTCTTACAATTCGTTCGCATTTTCTACGAGTTTTACGGCAGTGGCTACAGGCCAGCCAGCATCAAGGTCAGCAACGTCTTCGCCCAATCACTGTTACTACTGAAGGTGTAAAAGTGTCGATTGAAAAGTAATAAATTAATGAAAAACTAAAACAAATTTAAATTCTAGTTTATCGACAAATCGGACATATAAATTCAATGGACCAAACAACTTTTTTCGAATCAATATACATATTGACGCAACAATCTGTTTAACATAAAATTTCAAAACTGGAGCATAATTAAAAAAATCTAACAAGTCTCCAAGATCGCAGGTGGAAATAGATAAATCAAACTTTGCAAGAGTACTGAAGCTGTGATATTGATAATAAAATGTTAATGAAATAACTAAAATATTGACTAATCATTCTAAATGATTTATTTTTATGAAGCTCAATATTTTTCTTACAATTATGTAATTAAATTCTACGTAATTAATTCAATTCGATTGACGGCTTACATTTTAATCGAAGAAACTTAAAAATCACGTGTAATCAAGTGTATAAATTTACTTTTCTATGTTAATGTAGAACATGGATTTTTCGATAATCATCGTCGATACAGTCGAAAAATGTTCATTAGAAAAAACGTGGAACAATATCAGGCAATATAATTTTCGAAAACCTTACCCTTTTTTCGTTGTTATACGTTTATATCCGTAAAACTTTCAAGTTGGTAAAATCTTTGGCATCTCTACCTAGCAACTACAACTGCAACTGCAATTGCGGCCTCGTCTTGCGGCTCGCTCGCGAATCTCATCGGGCAAAAGTTCCCATGCGTGCATTATAATTGCGCGTCTGCCCCGGCTATATAATACGTATATATTTGAACTTTGTGCTCTCACGCACGCATAGAGCAGCAGCAGCATCGCAACGAGGCCTCGGCAACGTACTCGAGACCAATTACCTTCGTCGATAATAATCGTCAGCCTTCGCCGATCGATATTTATGCATTACACACGCATACGAGACTATTTATTCTTCGGACAACCGAAAAAAACAAGAAGAAGAAAGAAGAAAGAAATGAACGTATGTATGCGATATAAACAACGAGAGACGAGCTAAATATTTTCGCGTTCAATATCGTATTCGTAATATACGAGACGTTTGTGAGCGCGTGTACCTATACGGCGAAAAGACAGCTCGTCGTAAAAAAGTCATGCTTCGCTGCTGTATATATTTTATATATAGTACAGTATATATCCATAGGGTGGGCCCCGCCAAGAATATATATGAATTTATGAGATCGTCGAGGCTCTTATATGTCCATCGGGCGGCCCCTATGCTGCATATATACGTGTATGTATCCTACACACGCTCATATCGTCCCCGGGTTCGTCCGGGTTGTTCCGGATTTTATCCCTGATGAGACAGCTCGCATACAATTTTATTTATTTTCTTTTCTCTCCCTCTCTCTCTTTTTTTTTTTGCGGTCCGTGGCATTGTTCGCGGAGCCTCTTGAATATTGAAACGATATACATATACGTTATACACTGACGAATTCTCTCTCTTTCAAGCTTGACGAGCTTCGTCGCCCCCACTGGTCGCCGGTGAAAATCGCTGATTTTCAAGTTTTATTATTTTTATTTTCATTTTTTTGTTTCTTAATTGGAAATCGAATTACGCGCTCGGCCGCGAAATAATAATTGAAAACAACAAAAACACCGAGATGAAAAATAAAAATCTGCAAAGTGACAAAGTTTCTTTTTTGCGGCTTTATATATTATTATATCTACGTGCAGCAATTGCACGAGTGAAAATAAACGCGGCGCTGCGTGTGCCGCACCCACGAGCTTTATTGTTAATTAACGATCTGCGAACACCCATGTGCTCAGCAGCATCGGGCTTCAGCCCCCCCGACAAATTCAAACTCGCGGTTTTGCGTGTATAATACGTCGCGCTGACGCGTCGGTTTTGCCCTTTCGCTGCTACTGCTGCGGCGCTCACACCCCCGATACACACGCATACATATAGCCTGTCGTAGCGAGAGACGACGTGTCAGATGCACATAAACTCGAAATCAGCAAATTATTATGTACGATATAAGCGCGACGATGAAGTATGTATAATTTCGCAAATTTTTGATCGCGTCGAAATTGGGTTTTGGTTGCAGGTAACGAACATATATGAAGCGCGCCGCCAACAAGCCCGTCGTGAGATTCAAAATCTTTCCCAACAAATTCACCAATAACAACAATAACAACAACAAGAGCGGCAATAAAGAAGAGCAGCAGCAGCAGCGCGTCAAAGCAGCGGCAAAAAAGTCGACACCAGTAGCAGTAACTCCGGACTCGAGTAAAACGGTCGAAGTTGTCGCATTGAGCAAGAAAACAACGACACCGACTGCAGCAGCAGCAGTAGCCACAGCAGCAACAACATCATCATCATCGGTACCAACGATCGTCCACAAGAAAAAGAAGAAACAGCAGCAGCATAAAAATCGTTCCGCGTACGACAACTCGTGCTCCGGTAGCAGCAGTACCAGCACAAGCAGCAGCAATTGCCTAGCCGTGAGATGCGGCCCGCCGATGTACGACGAGTACGGCGATTACGACGACGACGATTACGACGAGGACGACGACGACGACGACGACGACGAGGAGGAGGAAAGTTACACGAGCAGCGAGAGCTCGGTGACGGAGTACGAGGAGGAAGAGGAGGAGGAGGTGAGGGTGGCCAGGACCATAGCGGCTTTTCGCAAGTGCGACGAGTTCCTGCAGAGGCACAGCATCAGTCCGGACATATTCTGTAGGTACAAGGAGCGGCTGGCCCTGCAGACGTGGCTGCTGAGGAGGTTGACCATCAAGGCTTCCAAGAGCGCTGCCGGTGAGTAGTAGTGTACACTTTTAATGTTACAGAAAAAAGAGGGGCGAGCGAAGAGCGACGAGAGGCTTGTATCGTTTATACAGAAGTTATTATAATCGGTAACTCGAGATATCGGTGTACATGTATTTGATGTAAACGGCGTGTAAATCCGTGCGATGCATTAATATCGTGCTGTTTTTCTTTTATACGCGGTGTGTGAAAATCGATACGATCGCGATGAATATTCTGCGCTGATATTAATACCGAGCTAATGGCAAAAACCGGACGTTTAAAATGTTTTCGTACATTGATTAGTTTAAAACGATGCGGCGATAAAAAATGAACAGTTTTAAAGCATCGAGACCGATCTTCGAATTACTTCGAATGCGATATATAGTTTTCACTCTGAGACTTCGCCGCTAGATGGCGAGTAGCTTTTACGCGTAAATCTGAAAGCGAGTTAGTAAGAACAATTGTATAAATCGAAGTATGTCCAAAGCCTGGCTAAGGATCGATTATTGGTATGATCGTGTGGGGCCACGTTTACACACTTAAATATATTATACCTAGCACGACGGTTGAATCATCCGCGAAATATACACACGCATAACGAGACCCGACCGCGTGTCTATACCACAACGACCAACGACGACTAAAAATCGCACGTACGCATACTCTCGTATACCCGAGACATCTCTCGTACTTACATTTTATGTATATATACTCTGTGTACGTGTGTGCACGCGCACATAGTGGCTTCTTTAGCCGAAGAAATCGCGACGAGTGATGGATCGTCCTCGCTGCTTTATCGTCGTTCTCTCTCTCTCTCTTTTTCTGCGCTCCGTCGCATCAGCGTTGGCTTTAACCTTCCTTCAGCTTGATAATTTAACGATTCGAGTTGTACCTGCTGTATGCACTCGCGGGAGCTCTCCGATCGTGAGCACGACGTTCCTTTTTTTTTTTTTTCGTCATTTTCTTCTTTCGCGCGCGGTTTCTCCCGATATATAAAGCGACGACGACTTGGCTGCGCGCACAACGTGGGAATGAAGCTGCAAATTTTGTATACGCTCTTTGTTGCGTTAAATGTAATAATATACCTATCGCCGCGATGACGATGCGTAATGCGCGCGGGGGGCCCGACGCGATTTTTTGATTCACCGCGTAGAGTAGCGCAATAATGTAAGAATCTTCGACGATATAGGTGAGATGCGTAATTATCGCGTTTACGTTGTATACTTGACCCCGTCGAGTCGCTCGGTGTTTGTAAACACATCGAGTGCCACGCGTTTAGGCTCGGCTCGATATCGTTCGATGCACATATGTTATGATAACATCCATCGTAAAGAATTTATCTACTCATTTTTATGCCATGCGTTATTTCTCGAATCGTATAAACGCAAAAAAGCTCACGCGACGATGATGTCTGCTAGACGTGACTAGCTGTGCTCGGGTTGCAGACGCGAAGAAGGGCGCGTCGGTACACGGGGTTGCTCTAATCTCCAGCAGTCGGTATTATTATTCTCTCTGCTTTGCTCCCTTTCTCGCTTCTGCGCCGCGTGTATACGTGGTATCGATTTTCGCAAGCAAGCGAAGGGGGGGCTGGCTCGGTGCCCTCTACACACAACTACTGTTTGTATACACATAGACTTACGTACGCATACACGTACACAATTGCCGTAAGTACGCTGGCTAAAATCTCGTCGAATTGCGAAACTGGTATCCGGCACCGCTGGTGTAATGGTATCATGCAAGATTCCCATTCTTGTGACCCGGGTTCGATTCCCGGGCGGTGCACACCCCCTTTTTTTTTTTTGTTTTTTTTTTCGTTCGCGTCGATGTAATATAATTTACTCGAGTGTCCATACGGTACAATTACGATGACGTACATTTGTATATCGAATCGATGAGCGGATATACGAGCTATTTTGATGAAAAGCATTTCTCTCTATTCTTTTTTTTTTTTTGTTAACCTTATTTGCCGATTAACAATTACGTACGCACACGCGCGGTGGTGGTGGTGTTACTCGCGGGGGACGGGATAATTGCAGCGTATTTGGCGGCGAGTGAATTATCGATGACGCGGCGCGAGAGAACCAGAGAGAGAGATAGTCGAAGGTTCGACTGTGTATTATACAGGGCTGCGAAGCGCGGCGCAAAGCTCATCTGCATTTTGCAAATCGCGCGTCGCGATTATGCTCGATTGGCGTGAGACACGGGGGTGGGATTTCATTCGATCGTCGTTGAATTTTTTCTCCCTGTATCTCGCGAACTTAATCGATGTTAATTCGGTGAAATCGATTCGTACTTAAAGCTCACCGATGAATACTTTTGTACGTAACGGCGTTCCACCATACGCGTTATATCAATTGCAATTGCAACTTACACCGAGATCCGACGACAGCCCGCCCGTGGTTTTACATATAAATTTCCATTGCCACGCCTCTGCTCTTGCAGTGCGTATTCAAGGAAATAGTTTATGATTTTCAATTTATTCTCGAGCTCGTCACCGCTTAGAGAATTTTGAAGCGGAAGTAGGTGCACTCGGCGCGGCAGCTAAGTTAATACACTTTATATAAAAATACAAGAATCACGCCAGTGATCGACGATTTCAGCCGATCGCATTTATTTATAAGGTAGACAGACGATGTATTTTCATACCCTATCGCTCGAGTATCGCGCGTGCTCGATCATCATCATCAACGAAGAAAAAAAAGAAAAAAGAAAAATCCAATAAAAAACAATCGAATCCCGTATGCAATCGCTCGCATGAGAAATCCACTCTCGACGCGTTTCGAAGAACGACCTTATACAATACTACTTTATACGCACGGCACACTCGTACATAAAATTGTAACAAAACGTCGCACGATAAAAATAAAAAAAAGCACAGTCTGCCGCTCTCTCGATCGCGTACACCACATTATAATAGGCGCGCATCGAGGAGCTTTGTCGGGAGAGCTTGCGCGCGCGAGTTGTCTCTCTCTCTCTCTCTCTCGATCGATCACACACACACGTACATGGTATTTAACGTCGCTCGCTCGCGCGCGTCCCGGTACATGTCATTTGAATAATCCATCAATTAGCAGGCAGTGCACACACGATGTGCAGCACTATATATAGATAGATAGAGAGTGAGAGAGAGGATGTTATAGGCACGAGAATGCCCAGGCTGGTTAGCGGTGCAGCGGCGGCTTTTCCGGCTCCCTATATGTATGTATCTCCATCTCTCTCTCACTTCTCTCTGTCTTTCTTTCTTTCTTTCTTTCTTTCGCGCAGACGAATGTTCAAGCGCGCGCGTGTGCGTATATACGCGAAACGGTAGTACGTATACAGAGGAGGAGGAGGAGGAAGAGAGGCACAAAAAAAAGCAACAGCAAAGCTCATATATATATTTATATAAGTACCCACGCCGGGTGTCGTGGAATTTAATTAAACGACGCGAGGAAAAAGAGAGACTGTTAAGACGGTTGAGAGAGAGAGCGAGCGCCAAAGAGAAGCGAAAATGTTCCGTTCGCGCGCTAATGATTTTTCCTTCTGCAGCTGCTGATGCAGAGCCTCGTGCCGCCTCTGTCTAAGTGCGAGTGAGTGAAATTCAGGTTAAGTGACTTTTATTTCTCTCTGTCTAGCTCTGCTCGTGCCGTCATGCCGCGTTTCCATGCTGCTTGTATACTTTTCCCGCGTGGAAATGTTTGCGAGTAGGCGAGAGAGAGAAAGAGAGTTATAAAAATGAAGAATGGCGGAAAGGAGGAAGCGAAAAAAAATCGGGCTGAGAGGCTGTGTTAATCGATAAGCTTGCGTTCTCGATATAATGTATTTGTGCGTGGTATTAGGAAGATGTGTACGTGAGCTTTATATCGTATGCATACTATAATATGTCGTATTTATCAAATGTCAGAAGGAGTACGAAGCATCGAGATCGATCAAACAATTGTGCGTAACTTGCAATTCTTAAATATAGATGTCGTGTTTCAATCCATAGACACATTTATCAAGTTGAAGCTTTATACAAGACATCGGATCCGTGACGATTTGTCACGAGGGTTGTCCATTTCTTTGAACCGATTTCGTGGTTCGGATGAGGTCTGATTCCAGCATCAACGTGCCGAAAATTTGGCTACGTCATTTTCTTCTACAATTGGCCTTTTTCTTGGCTCCAACTGGTGCAACACCAATGTTGTTTTCAAACTCATACCGATCTTCTTGCAGCATTTAGGGGCCAACGTCCCTAAAAAAGTGATTTAATGTAATTCCACTTCGCAGTTTGATCGTTTGCTATGGAATTGATTTCCGGAGACTGACCTCGAACGGCGTGTGTGCACAATCCGAACATATGCACCTAATGCGTAATCGTCACGGATACTAGGCAAAAACAGAATTGCCTATGATTTTAGGTAATATGCGCAATTTTTGAAAGAGTTTAGGAAGTTCCTAAAATGTTTAGACAAAAACCACAATGCCTAAAAAAAATACAGGCAAAACTAGCAATACCTGAGTCAGTTTAGGCATTTTTGCGTTTAAATAATTTCCCATTTAAACCACTACATATTTCATATATTTCATATATTTCATATACCAAAAGAAGAAAAAAAAATACAAAAAAGCTCTTGAATCGCAAATACGTAATTCTAATTGCCCTCCTTACATACACGTAAGTGTACGTATGTAACAAGGCTATAATATAAAAGCTATTCGTGTCCGAGAGCTTACGATATTCGCCAAGAGGGTTATAAATTTCCACCGGTTTAAGCCTTTTCTTCTCGTCCTTCATTTGCGCGCTTCATTTGGCATCCGCGTGTGATCCGCTGCTAAAAATTTTTTTGTTTCGCTATACATGGGTGAATGCTATCTACCCGCGAGAATCGCGAAGAAGACGCGCACGAGCCTATGTGCATACACGGATTTACAAACAATGCGCAAGTGCAGTGCGTACAAGTAACACGAGTACACACCGCGTTTCTAAGCCTATACTATCTACTGCACAGGTGACACGTTGTAAAACGAATCCACTTCTTCGAGCTTTCGTTTTTCTTCTTCCTTCTTTTTCTCGTCTCGTATACTTACATAGTAGTAGTACTTTAAGTAGCTTCGTATACGAGCGCGAATGTTTATGTACACCTAGGAGATGTGATAAATGTACCGTTGCTCGAGCGCAGCGAATCTTTTAAAAGCCCCGCGCCGGCAAATACATACTGTATCGCTCGAGCGTATATATACGTTATATATAGGTCCAGTGCGCGATGTAAGCAGATGTTAATTTATAGACTCGAGTATTATAGCAGTGAGGATATTACAAGATCGAGTGCGCGCACTGCTGCTCTCGTGTAAATACGTATATAATTACGCGTACACATCTCGCGCTTATATCATAGCTATATATACACACACACACGTATGTATATGATCCTAATGTACGCGGCCGAAATAAAAATTACCCCTCTAATCGTTCGCGCGCGATAATGTGTCCTATAGCGGCGATCGCCTTAATGGAAGGATTGATCATTATTAAAAAGGCTCTATACGTAGCTGCATCGGAGCGTGTGTATGTGTGAGTTTGCGACCGATAAAGCTCCATCCATCATCTTGCCCCTGTATAATTTCATTCTTTTATCTCTTTCTCACTGGCGATTTTTTTTTTTTTGCTTCGTATACTCGCGCGATAAATAATCACACGCGCGTGGCGTATGGAGCTCCATTCATCGAAAATAATCGCTCACCTTAGCACCATACAATATATATGCATATTATTATACGAGTCGCAGCCGCGCGGTCCGCGTTTATTAAAAGTCAATTTTTTCTTTTTTTTTTTTTTTTCAAAAATACGTGGTTACAAAAATCTCGGCGTTTACGTGTGTATATAATATGAATACGCCTCGAGGAGCGATCGGCTCGGCTCGCCGATGTGTATTACAATGGAGCGCGACCCAGAGCAGAGAGCAACAAGTGCGCGCTCGTGATATACCTCTGAACTGGCGCATTAAACGCTGCGCACATTTATATAGGCATCGTATGTATATATGCGAAAGGGACGAGGTACACCTTTTTCTTATATACATACGTACTTTGCGCTCGCGGCTCTCTTCCTGGAATCCGGATATGCGTGTTCTCTCTCTCTTCAATGTGTGTGTGTACGCGATTATTATAGAGTCCACGTATACACACGATATAACGACCTCGTGCTCTCTCTCTCTCTCTCTCTCTCTCTCTTAGTGACTACTCGGACGCTGCGCGGCGGCGATACATGGCGAGCACGAGTGCGCGCGCCCGCGTTGCGTGGGAGAGCTGCACTGCACGGCAAGGCAGACATATCGTCCCGAGAGAGTACACTGTGGGTAATTTACAAGATTCGTTTCAATTTATTATCATTATCCTTGGATTTTTTTTCATGGTTAGAGATCATTTGGCCTTTGTCTACTTCGATGGACAAAAAGCTGGACGAAGACGGATCTCTCCGTGATGAATGTAATCATCCTTTTTTGGGATCTATAGAGGCTCGTGAAAAAAGATTCCTTCGGAGATTCCGTTTTCTCTACTTTGTTTATTATCATTTTTCGTTTGGAATAAACTATCGCCTTCAGTGGTGGACTATGGAAAAAGTGTCGTTCATATGTAACTCGAAAACAACTAATGGGGGCTTTTACTCATTTTTAAGAAATTTAGAAACCTTTCTTTCGAACAAGACTTGAAAAATACTCTTAGCTAATCGTTGCATAAAAAGCTACAGGAAGAGATTCGGGTAATGCTCGATCATTTCAGCACAACTTTTATTGAAATTTTAGCAAAAACATATGTATAATCAATATAATCAATAAATGTTATCAATAAATATTTACATTCGCTTTGTCTCGAGCGTGTTTTTGGCGATGTTCGTGAATTGTTCGTTGGTGTCTGAACAAATGCGTTTTTCGTCCAAATTTTTTCTCGCATTTGTCGCATGCAAAATCTTTTCGACCTTCGTGAACTGTCCTTTGGTGCTTTACCAAATCCGAGTTTTGTCCAAATTTTTTCCCGCACCGATCGCAGACGTAATCTTTACGACCTTCGTGGACTGTCCTTTGATGGTGGAGCAAATTACTTTTTTGTCCAAAATTCTTCTCGCACTTGTCACATGCGTAGTCTTTACGACCTTCGTGCACTGTACTTTGGTGATTTAATAAATCCGATTTTCGTACAAATTTCTTCTCACATTTGTCGCATGTAAAATCTCTGCGATCCTCGTGGACTGTTATATGGTGCTTTAACAAACCCGATTTGTGTCCAAACTTCTTCTCGCAATTGTCGCAAGCGTAATCTTTGCGACCTTCGTGAACAGTCTTTATGTGGATTAGCAAATTTGATTTCAGTCCAAATTTCGTTTCGCACTTGTCACATGCAAAATCTTTCCGATCTCCATGGACTGTCTTTTGGTGTAAAAGTAAAGTCGATTTTCGTCCAAATATCTTCCCGCACTCGTTACAAGCATAATCTTTGCGTCTTTCATGGACGGTTTTTTTATGTCTAGTCAACATCGGTTTTTGTCCAAATTTCTTTTCGCATTTGTCACATGCGAAATCTTTGCGATGTTCGTGAATTGTTTGTTGGTGTCTGAACAAATGCACTTTTTGTCCAAATTTTTTCTCGCATTTGTCGCATGCAAAGTCTTTGTGACCTTGGTGTAATGTTTTTTGATGCCTGAATAAATGCGCTTTTCGTCCAAATTTTTTCTCGCATTTATCGCATTCAAAATCTTTTCGATATTCATGGACTGTCCTTTGGTGCTTCAATAAATCTGATTTACTCCCAAGTTTCCTTTCACAATTGACGCGTGCGTAATCTCTGCGACCTTCGTGAACTAATGTTTGGTGTTTCATTAAATAACTTTGTTCTCCGAATTTTTTCTCGCACTCATCACAAGCGCAATTTTTGCGACCTTCATGAAATGTTTTTTGATGTAAGAGTAAATGTGATTTTTCTATAAATTTTTCTCCGCAATTGTCGCAAAAGACATTTTTGTGGCCCTCATGGACTGCCTTTATATGAATGACCAAACTTGTTTTATTTTCAAATCTTTTCGCGCACTTTTCACACAAGTAATTTTTGAATACTTCGTGAAATATTTTTTTGTGCTTGAGAAACGTTGATTTATTTTCAAATTTTCTCTCGCACTTGTCACATGTGAATTCTTTTCGATCTTTGTGATCTAATTTTTGATGCGTCAATAAACTCGATTTTTTCACAAATTCCTTCTCGCACTTGTCACATGTGAAATCGTTGCGGCTTTTGTGTTCTAATATTTGGTGTCTACTCAAATGACTTCGGAACTCAAATGTCTTTTCGCACTTGTCGCAGGCGTAATTTTTTCGTTCATTGTGAATTGTGTCTCGGTGTATCAACATGCTTGATTCTTGTGTAAATTCCTCCTGACAAATATCACAGATGTATTGTTTATCGTCCGAAACAATAATTTCGTGTACATTTAAATTATCTTCAAAGATAACTTCCTCGGATTTCTCTTCACTTTGATCCATTTCGGTGTCTTAATTAATTAATGGATCCTTCTTTTCAGTAATACGGAAATTAAATGAGTAAAATCGACCTCTGGTATTATGGCTTGTTTGATCACGAAAGACAACTTTCAAACTTATTTATATTCGATATAAATATGATCAATGTCCCGAGGGATGATTTCGATATCGTTTAATATTTACAATCTAGAAACCGATTGATCTGTTTATACATCACCCTTACGATATTTGAAACAATTTAAAATTCTGAATTGACTAATTTTGGGACAACAATGGGAGGAGCTTTTACTCATTGTTAACAAATTTATACAGCTTTTTTTCTCATTTCAAATAAGTAAACAGTCTTTGGGCCAATTTATCAAAATCTTTCGCTAGATCATGTTTGATCAATTCAGTTTTGAATACGTAAGGTTTATCAAAAATCCAGTGAGAACTAAATGGTCGCTCCATTCACAGTTTCAAACGAGAATTTGAAAAAACTCTCAGCTGATCAAGAAATGTATATCGAGAGTAGCAATAAGTAGTACGCGAAATCTGAAAACACCACAACGTCAGAGTATAAAATTGTAATGATAGTTGTTCAGGTAATATACAATAATTTCAGCACAAGGTTTATTGAAATTTTAGTAAAAAGTATAAGTCAGTTATGTATAATTCGTATATCAATACATATTTAAAATTGTCAATTATTTCTTTTTCCTCTTTTGTCTCAAGCGTATTTCTTGCGACCATCATGCACTACTTTTTGGTGGTTTAGCAAATGCACTTTTTGTCCAAATTTTTTTTCGCAATTAACGCATGCGAAATCTTTACAACCATTGTGGACTGTATTTTGATGTCTTTTCAAATTGCTTAAATCCCCAAATTTTTTCCCGCATTTGTCGCAAACGCGATCTTTACGACCTTCATGGACTAACTTTTGATGTTTGTTCAAAGTGCCTCGTCCCGCAAATTTCTTTTCGCACTTGTCGCATGGGTAATCTTTGTGACCTTCGTGAACTGCCCGTTGGTGACAAAGCAAATGTGATTTTTTTCCAAATTTCTTCTCGCAATTATCACACGCATAATCTTTCCGACCTTCGTGTATTGTCTGTTGGTGGATGAGTAAATTCGATTTTTGTCTAAATTTCTTCTTACATATGTCGCATGCGAAATCTTCGCGGCCCTCGTGTACTGTCTTTTGGTGTCTAATCAATTTCGAGTTATGCTGAAATTTTTTTTCGCATTTGTCACACGCGTGATCTTTCCGACCTTCATGTACTGCCTTTTGGTGAGCGAGTAAATTCGATTTTTGTCCAAATTTTTTCTCGCACAGATCGCAGACGTAATCTTTACGACCTTTGTGAACTGTCCTTTGGTGCTTAACTAAATTCGATCTTAATCCAAATACCTTACCGCAATTGTCGCATAAGTAATCTTTGCGACCCTCGTGAACTATTATTTGATGTTTTCTCAAGTTGCTCCGATCTCCAAATTTTTTCTCACAATTATCACACACGTAATCTTTCCAACCATTGTGTACTCTCTCTAATTGATACTCGCACCCATTGAATTTTAAATCTTTGCGACCATCATGTACCGTCTTTATATGAGTGACCAGACTTTTTTTACTTTCAAATCTCTGGGCGCACTTTTCACATAAGTAATCTCTGAAAACTTCGTGGAAAATTTTTTTGTGCTTGAGTAAAGTTGATTTATTTTCGAATTTCTTCTCGCACTTGTTACACGTAAAATCATTGCGATCTTTATGTATTAAATTTTGATGTGTAATCAAACTCGATTTTTTCACAAATTTTTTCTCACATCTGTCGCATGCAAAATCTTTGCGGCTTTTGTGTTCTGATATTTGATGCCTACTCAAATGACTTCGGAACTCAAATGTCTTTTCGCACTTGTCGCATGCGTAATTTTTTCGTTCATTGTGAATCTTGTCTTGATATGTTATCATGCTCGATTCTAGTGCAAATGCCCCCTGGCAAATATCAAAAATGTTTGGTTTTTCGTTTAAAACATCAATTTCGTGTTTACTTGAATCATCTTCAGAAACAACTTCCTCTGATTTATCCTCACTCTTTTTCATTTTGATGTTAAAAATAAACGATAAATTATTTTATTTAGTACCATAGAAATTGAATAAGTTAAATTTATCTTTTGGTATTAAGACTTATTCAATGGGAAAAGACAACATTCAAACTAATTTGTTATTAATTTGTTTTTACTATTAACATGATTAGTGCTTCAAGGGAAATTTTCAAAATCGTTGGTGATCATATTGTTTACAATTTAGGTAGCAATTCATCTGTTTACACATAATTATTCGAACAGTATTTGGAACAATTTAAAATTCTAACTCGGCGACAATTTCTCCGAGGAATTTTTCAACCTCCTAAAACGAAGTACTTCTCAAAAAACTCCCGACAGATACCATCGATTTCATACTAGCTACATCGAGTAAATAATATATTGTACACATGTATAATAAAAAAATTTGATATTCATTCTAAAATTGTCCACCCCACGCCATGTACGGCGTGATTGACGAGCTCCAAAATCCGTCACTTATCGTTGCAAAATCATTTTTTAATTGTGAAAAGCCCAACGCCATTATGTTTTACATTGAAAAAATTGCAAAAATTTTAAATTTCAATTTTTAATCATTCGTTAATTCCCTTTGATGACGATCGTAAGAGACAGATTTGATTTGACTCGATATAAGTGACAATCATTTGTGTTATAGAATATCTTACCATCAGTTGGTTTGTTTTTGGCAATTTTTTTGATAAAATTACATTACAAATATCCAGTGCATTTTAAGTAACATGAAAATTATAATTTAGTTGCCTGAACAAATTAAACACAGTTTTTAATCATTTCAAATACGATATAAACACCTTACAGCATCCACCACCAGATGGCGAGTACTTTTATTCCTGTAAATCTGCAAGTGACAAAGTACAAATAATTGTATAAGTAGAAACATACTTCCGAAACATACACACTGGCTTTTTGCAATACTTTCCGAAGTTAACATTGATTTTGTTGCGGAAACGATTATTCTCGCAAGATGTCGTGCGGATGTTTGCGCAAACGATCGAGTCGACTCGCGCGCACAAAGATAGACAACTCGTAATGGTCAATTCAGCAAGATACGCTGTGATCATATGAAAAAATTTCATATACAGTTGTAGCTTGCAGAATAACTTAAATTCAAAAATAAAATTTACCAGCTTTTCATTGGAATTTTCAGAAGAGAAGGCGCTTTAACCTTTATTTGACACACTTTCCCGGTGTAACGTACTAATTGATAAATTGGGTTTCTTTGTACCCCATCGAATGAATTATTAATAAATAATTTATCAAATATTCCTGTTTGAAATTTTTTTTACGATTTTTTGAAAAGTTTGTTTTGAAGACTGTATAAGTTTCATATTGAAATATTGAAAGTAAATACATTCAACAATAGAGTAAATTTTTGTCAATTTGGATACTTTGAAAAACGTAGAAAAAGCATGAATATCCGCAAAAATGATATTTTTAATTCCATCCCAAATTCTCAGTGCTCACCGTGAAACGATTTTTTCACGTTAAATACACACCATGATCGGCTTCGAATTCGGCAGCCCACGCATATTCCAACTTCGCGGGAAAGAGAATAAAAATCTTTCTTTTATTGTTTCAAGATATGGACATGAATATTGTTCTAAATGTGTGTGAAAAGCCAAAGAGGTTACTTTCGCAATACCTGCCATAAAAAGTATTTACAGAAAAAAGGAGCTCTATCGCAAGAAACTCGTTTTAAATTGTTTTACTTTTACACGCTCGATCATCGGCATTGTCTCAATCATTTCTTGCGCCGTTTCCAAAAAAGCACGAATACCGAAGCCTCTCGGGCTACCCGGTACAGCCCAGACACACACGTACCGATATGAAAAAAAAAAAAAAGAAAAGAAAAAAAAATAGTCGATACACATACTTACATTATTATGTGCCTCGGGATCTCGAGCCGAGCTTGCCGATTTCTCTCTCTCTCTTTCTGCATCTCTCTCTACGGTCGGCACGGATGAAAAGGGGATATATATATGGACGATGTCGCGCAGATTCTCGTCCATCCTCGTCACTGCATGTGTATACACACACACACGTATACCTTATATCCTCCTCTTTCTTTCCCTGCATGCAGCACATGCGCGCCGGCATTCGACGCGTATCGGACGCGTCCTCTTGATCTGCTGCTGCTGCCGTTGCTCTCGAGAGTTGACAGCGCGACTTTCGACGCGCTCGATGCTGTATAGATATATATGTATGTGTACACTGTTTTCTTTTATGTATAAAACGAGTTGTTCCTTTTTTTTTTTTCGTGTTATTTCTTCTTGGATCTCCGCTGCTGCTGCTGCTCGCGAAGCAAAGAGCAAAGCTGCCAAGATCGTGAAACCGAGATTCGAGCCGCGACTTGTGCGCGCCTTGTGAGTTCATATGGGTATATACAGATTTTTTTCTGTTTTTTTTTTTTTTTTTTAAATAAAAAAAAAGGGGGCGATGTATGCATGTATGCGTATACGCGCGAGTCTGCCGTAACGTATGCGATTTTCAAGTGAATTCATGCTTCGTTTGTACGAAAGAGAGAAAGAGAGAGAAGAGAAAGAATGAGAGCTGTATCTTGACTCGCAAACGTCGAAGCGATGTTTATGCGATATATGCGTATAAGTACACGTGGATCGGTTTGCTCGTCGTCGACCTTGATTTGTTTATATACACAGATATATTATATATATGCTCGCGATCTTTCGATGTTGCTATCTAAGCGAAGTACGAACTATAGGTAGAAGATGTGTACGCGATTTGAACTTTATCGCGTACATTATTAATGCCAGAAGTAATCCCAGACATTTGCTGGATAAATCTCGCCGAAAGCTCAAAAGCGTAACTTGGTAATTTCAAAAATAGATGTCGTGATTCAATCCATTGATAAATTTATTAAGTTGATGCTTTATGTAGATGTCAGATCTATGAAAATTTATTAAAGTTCTCCTCGCAACGTGATTCGTAAAGGAAAATAAGTTATGCCCGATTACACGAAGCGTCTAGCGTGCTCGATATGTATAGAACAACAAAACTTCGTACGCGTTTTTTTCGAAACACCACTTTTTTTCAGCTCTCGACAGCTATTGAGAAAAAACTACAAGACCGATCTTTATGTTTAGTATCTCTTTTTAATCGTTACAACTTCTAAGAAGTTAAAAAAATCATCCCCAATTTTTTTTACGAGGGTAAATTTATCCCGAAAAGGGCATTTTTTCAGAAAAACTCGTGCCAAAATCGTAAAAATTGAAAATATTAACTTTTTAGAGGTTTGTGTTCAAAAGAAGGTTGTTACAATTAAAACGAAGTATGAGGATCGGACTTATAGTTTTCTCTCAATCACTGGCAAGAGCTAAAACACGAATTTCAGCAAATTCCGATATAAGTATAATTTGTGTTTATTCGACCCTTATGACGTTCACAGCTGGCTCTTCGGCTACCCTATATAGTCCTTTTTCCGAATAACTTTTAGGTCAAATTCTGACCGGCTTCTTCCTTCATCCAAGTGGTGTACCAAAAGACATCGCAGATATAGATACTTAGATTCATACTTTATACACACCGCAAAAGGACTCACCGTTTGCCGATCTCTTCCTCATCGCCTTAGCTCTATACGCAGCGTTGCTCTCTGTATACACATCTCTTCGTTCGAGAGCTAGCTGCTAGCTCGCGCGAGGCAGCTCGCGAGGAAGAATCGATGGTCGATAAAGAAAAACCCCCGACCGCCGCGCGAAGATAAAGAGCGCCAAGAGACTCTGTATACACGAGCTCGAGAGTCTTATGTACCGTGAAAAGGGCCTCAAGGCCCCTACCCTAGCTGTGGCTCCCCACGTGTTATATATAAAATACACGAACGAAAGGATAAGGACGACGACGACGGCACGCACCTGTTCGCGTGTATACAGTACCCGGAGCGTTGCCGGTTTCGCCGTCAGGTAGAGCTACTTACCTCGCGCGCATCCTTCGCACGAGCGAGATATCCTTGCGATGGTACACACACGCTTATGTTACGAAGTATATACGAGCACTCGAGGATAATAATTTAACTGCTTTACCGGCGTTGGGTTTTCTACATAAATTTTTTTGGGGGTTTTTTTTCAAAAGGACACGCAAATATTCGTGTGCGTCGACTTTTCGTTAGTTTATAGACGTATAAATATGCCGCTCCTTAGGCCCCGTTCAATTATTTTAATATTCAGTTCGCGATCGACTCGATGCGATATGCACAAATACGCGTTTCTTTTTTCTCGAAAACGCGTTCGAGCTTTTAATTAATGTTGACGATACGATGATAATAACGGGACGCACGAGCGCAATAAATTGCATTGTATATACTGCGGGCGGCAAATTTAGCTGATACGCGCCGCAGAGTTGTTGCCCGCGCGCAAAAATTCGCCTCGAAATCTCATCCAATTTCCTTCTCTCTCTCTCTCGCCCGTGTTCCAATCCCTATCGCGCATTTGTATAATATAGACGACGAAATCCTACTGTCTCACTTATTTTATACCTGCCTGCTGTATAGCTCTTGCGCAGAGAGCTATATAATACAGGTGTGAGTATGTATGTACGCGTGTGTGTGTGTGTGACTGTGTGTACGATATAAGCTCACAAAAGCCCCCCGAGTTCTCGAATTGCATCTTCGCGGCGGCCTGGAGCAGCTCGCAAGATGTGCCTCGGCCTCTGCAGCGGCGTATAGCGCCGTAGACACACACACACACACACACAGGAGCACACAGACATATTTATACAGCACGTATAGTCCTGCATCGCTTCTCATTCGAACCGGTTTTGCGGCGCGCTACAATTCCTTATATACCTTCTCTCTGTGTACGGCTCCTTCGAAGCTTTTCTTATTTTTCGTTTGTGCATTTTCTCTCCGTCTCTCGGTACACACACACACACACACACACACACATTTATACGCACATTGTGTATAATATATCCACGGCACACGCGCGTGCAGCTTTCACGAGGCTAATGACTCGACGTAGTTCGTACGTTATTATGATTATATGAAAATCGCAATTTTATTTATTCATTCATTCTCTTTTTTTTTCCTCGGATCGGTCCGCGCTGCACCTCGTGCCTGCGGCTTATACCGTGTGTGCTATATATGGGCGACGACGCATTCACATTTTTCTTCTTTTGCTTTTTGCTTTTAGCTTTTCTCATTTTGCTCGATGGGCTAAAATATCAGGTTTACATCGAATGTGTGTGTGTGGCTTTTCCAACAATCCACGTTATACCACCGCAGTGCACGAATCGTTAAAGCTCGCTCGAGAGTGCCGATTACGCAATTGATTCATGTGCGTACGCGCCGGGAGTCGAGGTTTTTCTCTCCTTTTTTGCATCGAGGGCTTTATTATTTTTTGCGCGTGGCCGACTTATTATAAATTGTATATGTGTACGCGTATGTGCGCATCGAGAACTAAGAGCTTTTTGGGAAGTGCAGCTAATGCTCGCAACTTGGAAGTCTCAAATGTAGATGGCGTGTTTCAATCCATAAATGAATATCTCGGGTTGATGCTTTATGTAGATGTCAATATCTCGTAAGATCTAACGTATAGAACAGTATCTATGGTTAAAATAGACCGCCGCACCGACACGTGCACTTAATGTACTTTTGTAGCGATTGCCGTTCTTAGGGTTTCATCGACCACGATGAAGACTAAAAATCAGCTCGATCGAAACACTGCCTTGATCGGCATAACGATTTTTCACCAAGGTATCGATGCCAGAGCTTAGCTTCCTTCCGAAAGAAGCTTTCGCGCGGTCTTATATAGCTTATTATTACGATCCTTGCGATTTTTCAGCCATTTTCATCATTACGATTATTATTTTTTAATTATCAACAGCTCTGAATTATCTACACAGCAAACGTCAAAGAGGAAAAAGTTTGCACAAAAGCTCGTTACAAATCCTTTATGCATCGTCGCGTATAACGATCCAATTCAGAACGAGAAAAAAAAAGGAATTACAGCTTAAAACAATCGCACGTACACATACATATAAGTATATGCACGCGCGCGGGGCTCGTTATATCGCACTCACGATAAATGCATTACATTGCCGCCGCTCGCGATCGCCAAACGTATACATATAAAGCCTTGAAATAGAATATCATGGAGCGGTTCCCTTTCACATCTCTCTCTCTCTGGACGCGCGTGAAAGTTTATAACGTCGATGCAGGTATATATAAATAAATTACGCACACACATGCATACACGCGTGTACTTCGGCGCCGAGAGAGGAGCGTGCGAAAACCAAAAACCCAAAAATTTCTCGCGATACACATATACTCGATGACGTATTATAATTACACGCGTCGATGCTCGCGCAGCGCGCCAATATAATGCGAGCGAGAAACAACCTGTGCCTCCGCCGCCGCCGCAACCGCCGCTGCATTATGTATACGTATATGAATACGACCGCTGATTTTTTAAGAGGTCTACATAAAAAAAAGAGAGAGAGAAAAAAAGCAGCAGAAATGTTATATACTCTCGTGTGGTGCCTGCCGTGCTGTGTGCAGCATCCCGTTCACCTATCTCTCTCTCTCTCTCTTTCTCTCTCGGCTTTAATGCCTCGTGTGCACGAGAGGGACTAACCTTTAGCCGTGTTTCTGCTATATTTTGCTGCTCTTCTTCTCCTCCTCCTCCTCCTCCTCCTTCGTCGTTTTCTTCTTCACTTCGTCCTCGCTGCTGCGTTGCTGCAGCTTTATGTATATTATATACAGACTTGTGTATTGTGTATAGTCTCTCTCGGTGATCTTGGCCGGCGGTCTGTTTTCTGGTTTTATACCCTTTCTCTCTCTCTTTCTCTCTCTGCCCCCCTCCTCCTCCTTGGAATCTCTCTTGAGGCCCAAGGCATCAGGCCCCAAGTAGCAGCAAGATGTATAATATGTGCAAGTGAGTCTCTCTCTCTCTCCCTCTACTTCTGCTTCTGCTGCTGCTGCTGTTTGCTGTTTGCTGTCGCGCACAGCAGCAATGACGCCCAGTTCAGCGCGGTTCACCGCACAAATCGCGTTACTTTTTAAAACTTGATGCACACGTATACCCGCGCAACATTTGTCACTGTGTCGTGTGTTATTGTTATTTAATTGATATCCGCGTGTGAGTGCGTGAATGGTGAACTTCACCAGCAAAAATGTGATCAAATATGAGAGTGCGCGCGTGTTTGTGTGTGTGTGTGTGTGTGCCTCTGATATACCAAAACCTGTGATAATGCGTTGTTACGGTGCACGAAGCAGAGGCAGCGAATAAAACGCGCAAAACCCCAGAAAATAAGCAACGAGAATACGAAAATAAAAAAAAAAGGGAGCGATTGTGGGGGCCCCGCGTAAAGTCGTGTACCATGGCTACCCTGGGCCTGTCCAAGGTCTTCATACTGGATAAATATTTCACCGAGCTGCAAAAGTTCTGGGAGACCGAGAAGAAGCTGCAAGGTGAGGGTCGTCGCGCGAACCTCGTACTTTTTTTTATTTTATCGTTATTCTTTATTTTATTCCACGCGCTACACCTCTCTCGCTATAGGGCACTGTATACTTAAATACTCGCTCGCACAAACACATACTTACGTACACACACACACACACACACACACACACACACACACACACACACACACACACATGTATATTTTATATACAGGTAAATATACTCGAGGCTCGACCTACGTATATACACACGTATATATAAACGCTCGCTGCAAGTGAGAGGAATATACGGGACGTCTCTCTCTCTCTCTTTATCTCTCTTTCGCTCGCTCGTTCACTTGCTCGCGCGCGCGAGAGCTGCCTCGACGAGAGCAGCCGAGTAAGCGGCAGCAGCTCTCCTGGCGCACGAGATGGGTTAACTGTTTATACATAGATGACGATGCTGTATACATGTGTGTGAGTGTCTTGCATATACGTACGTGCAGTGGAAAATTTTTGCGTCACGCGCGCGCCCGATATCGGACACGGAACTTTCGCATCGATGTCCTTTTACTTTTGCGGCTCCGTGGGCATATAATATACATATACCATCCCATATAAACGCGACCAAAAAAGCAATTCGAAGATGGGATCGGTATATGCTACGAGAGGGAGTATAGCGAGCGGCACTAGATACGAGCTTGCAATAGCATCTTCTGCACTTTTTTTCGGGCCAGTAGACAGAAGAGGAAAAGGGAGAGAGAGTAGAGAGAGAAAGGTCGCGCCCATGGAGCTTTTAACGAGGGTCGCTTCGTTAGTCAGCGACGCATTAGTTTACAGAGAGGGAAAAAATACGCTGAGCTTGCGATTCTCCGGGCAAAATTAATTTGCGGACGTCGTACCACATACATACACACACACACACACATATATATACACGACCGTAGATTGTTCCAACTGCACTTGCGAGCGAGTAAAAAATGTGTCCGCGTCATTGGTCCCGCAGTGCAGATCTCTCTGCCCACAAAACGATGGGGATGAGAATTGACTCGGTTTTATTTTTCCTGTCTCCTCCGTCTTTTTTTTTTTATATATATACCTTGTCTTTACGGTCAAAGTTCGGGTCGTTCGCGTGAGAAAGTAACGCGCGTAAATGCCCAAACTTTTAATTATGCCTTTGTTTATGTCCGCGATAATCGATGAAAATTTATCTCGGCTTGTCTCGTGGAGCGCAACAAAAAAGAAAGAAGACGAGCGAGGAATATTAAAGGAAGAGAGCGACGTAAAAACGTCAAGCGTATAAGCGTCAACAACAAAAACAAAGTCATTCCCTTTTCTGTGCAGCGTGCGGCAATGCTGGGTATATATTCGTACGCGTACGCGTATAATAATAAGAATAAACGAGCAGGTTGAAGTTTCGCGGAACTGACGACGAGATGTAGGGAGAGATTTTTTTTTTCTAAAAATAACTCAATGATCCCTTTTTTCATTCAACGAATCGACTGCAATTCATCGATATTTTCTGAAACAAGAAAAAAGGAAGGAAACAATTTTTATCGTAAATATTTTTTACAATGTCGTTGACACGCGTAATAAAAATGTCCGCGGAAAAAAAAATACCATCCCAGACGCGTTCGGCTATTCGGGCGCGAGAGGCTCATTGAAAAATCGAGGCACATTTGCACATGTGAAGGAGCCGAATTTATCTCTTTCTCTCTTTTCGACTATATATACACGCGCAGACGGTCGTGGTCATGTGTGTGTGTATACGTGTACGTGTCTGTCTGTCCGAATGAGTAAAAGGAAGGCAAGGACACACGAGTCCCATAGATATATATCGGTGGCGGCGCATCTTTTGCGGATAGACACTTAATAATATATTATGAATTTAATTTGAATGGGATCTCATTCTCGAAAACGACTTTGAGGCGCGAGCGGTGGGACTCGATCGTGTGCTTAGGGTATGGGTGATTTGCACAAAAAAAAATCATCGTCAGATCTGTTTCATTCCCGTGATGCTTTTCGATACCCGAGTCGTGTTATTTAATAATGTTATGTTAGAAAAACGACTAAGATCAATCAATATTTCATAATTCATGAAATAATCCGTATATATGTAACTTAAATTTTACTATTTCTCTTGCGGTTTGAAAGAATTCAGCCATACGCCATCTAGTGGTAAACTTTGAACTACTTCGTGCCTGAAAAAAGATCAACACTCGAGAAATTCTCAACAATTTAGTTCACCAAAAATTAAAGTTTTGTATTTTTCAAGCATAGATGCAATAATTTAAAATCAAGTACTGTAATTTAGTTTTATAAAATAACAGCAGTATTCAAGTCCTTATTTAAAAATTTACATATTCGTCAAATTAAGTTCAATATTAGTACCACTTAATTAATTTTAATATAGGTACTTTTTTCACATGAAAATCATTGATTTTTAAGAATAACCATATGTACATCTCAGTTTAAATATGATGTAAAAGGTTATGAAGGTATGTCTATATGAACATTCCAGTACAAACGTCCATCTGAAGTACTGTAAATGTACAGTGTGCACAAACAATAATATAGAAATCTCTGTTGAGTATTGTTAAAAAAAGTCATTTCATTTCCACCTTATCGCGACAAAAGTACCATTTTTTTACGAATTACCCCCCCCCCCCCCCCCCCCCNCCCCCCCCCCCCCATATATTACGATATATTTTAATACAGCGAGCTCATTTATCAGCGACGGTATCCCGCTCGAATCGTTTGTTTTTCCATCGACGAGCTTATTATATTCGTCGTCGACTTTTCTCGCTGCTATATAATACAACTAACCGTGTGTCCGTGTGTATTCGTGCTTTTCTTATCCTCCATCTGCAGCAAAAGAGAGCGAAAAAAAATGTCAAGCTTTGTACGTACCAGGCACATAGATCGCCTTGTATTATATGTGTGTGTGTCCAGTAATCGAGTCACGCGCGCGAGCTCGCGTATATTCGTGTGTCGACGTGTATGCATATAATACGCGCGCACGACGTTATAAAAGTCGCAGTGGATGAGAGCCGAGCGCGAGAGAAAACTCGTTTTAAATATACAAGCCCAGCGCAGCAACAGCGACTGAGGAAAGAAAAAAAGAAGAGCTCGAAGCACGAATATAATCCCGCCCTGCTGCGGATCTCGCGCAAGATAATTCACTCGTGACACTTCGCGAACGCGCATACAGCACACACACATGATACGCTCGCGTATTGGTCGAAGATAATGACAGAGTGCATTTTATATATGTACACGTATAATGCTTAATTGCCGATGCGATGCCTGTGCTGTGCAGCTTTTCGAGGCTTGACTGATTTTTTCATTTTTTTTTTTATTTCGATTTTTTTGAACACCCCTTCCTCCTGAATTATTTCGCGCATATATACACGCGTGCATGTGCAACGACGAGGTAGTTTATGGAAAAAATATAAATCAAACGTCGGGTCGATTACGATTCGTCGTTTTGCTCGCGAGCGAGAGTCATGCGCACGTATATCGATATATTAGGCAATATGGCCAAAATTCGGCCGCGAGGTGACAGCAGCGTCGAAGGTCAAAATATGCGCACTGGCGTCCGCGCACCACCGACAAACACGCTTTCGATCTCGTCGCCATTGCCGATCGAAATTTGCACGGTATTTAAAATAATGGATCATATTTACGGAAATCTTAGTGTAATTGCTTTGAAACAATTATTGAGAGAGAGAGGACTCAGGACGACTGGGAGAAAATCAGAATTAATTGAAAGGTAAGTTATTTAATATGTTTAATATGCAATAACAATTAGGTTAGGGGGTTTTGTTATTGTTTTTGTTATTATCATTCAATGCAACATTTTCTATTATCTTCTGTACAAACTTTGTTTTCTTAGATTAATTCAATATGAGAACTTTCACCAACAAACAAGAGAAAGGATCCGATTTCGATCATAAATATGGAAGCCTTAAATTAAAACAATTACAACATTTATTGAGAGAAAGAGGGGCCCGGGTGACTGGACGAAAATCCGAGTTGGTTGAAAGGTAAACTTTATTTAGTATACAATAACAATTGGGTTGTTTTAATCATTAAATGAACTCTTCTTAGATTAATTTATTATGAAAAAAACAACAACTTCGACTATGAAAGGGCCGAAAAAGATGAAGTCATTGAAACTCCTCCCGCTCAAGAATATAGGGACATAAATTCTTCAACGTTACTGCCAGGATTTTCTAAACTTCATCTAGACATATTTTTAAAGAATTATAATGTACAAATGGAAAAAGCACAAAATTTGTACAATGAAGGGTTTCTGCAGTACATAAGGTGTTGTAAAAAAGGTAATACTATAGATTTCATATTAAACTTACAATTTTATACACACATATATGATTTGTATAATTATCACTTCCAGATNATTAATAAAAAAATTGCATGGCTTAAACTTGTATTGTTCTTAAATATGTTTAATGTTTTTTCAAAATTGTTTGTTAAAAATGTTTAATAAAAATCATTTTTACATGGAAATTGTATTTTTCTTATTATTTGTTAAACTCAACATTAATTATTTATTATGTGTAAGCTTACATAATATTATCTTTAAAATTAGCCAGCATGATACATACTCTGATTATTTCTGATGATAAAGGGAGAAGATCACGAGTGAGTTTCTTTGAAAGAATGGTATATGTTTTCATTAGTCCAATAATCCTCTCCACATGAACTCTATGCTTGGACAATTTTCTGTCTTTCACAATTACATTGTGCGACAAATTTCCACTGACCATTGGAGTAGGTGTGCACACAGTGACGTCGCATGGGGCAAACAAATCTTGTACCATGATTCCCTTATCCGCAAGTATCACATCACCTGCTTTACATTTCTGCCTCAAATCACTGCGTTCAATTATCTGACGATCACTAGTAGAACCACCATAAGGCTCAGAAATATAAGATATTAAGCCACCTGGGCTAGTCCCTACCATAACTTTCAACGTATTACTATTTTTATATGTACTAAAAGTAGC